AACTTACGGCATGTAATATTCTAAAAAAAGCCATTGGCACGAAATATGAATAGATAAAATCACTTGAAAAGTATTTAGGTAGTATTTCAAGTTGTGAATACATTAATACTGCTAATCTCCAATTGTGTGTGGCCGCTATTCCCGATTCACACTTTAATAATGCTCTACCTATTTCCATAACAGTGTTTCCCTGCATTTTATAAGTAACATAATGTAGAAAAGAGAGATTAATTATACATAACATGAAGGAAACGGAAAGATACTAACCGCCCTGTCTATTCCGATAACTTGACACTCGGCTAAACAATCAAGCGTTACTCCTAGATTAGGAACTAAACCTTGCAAAACTTCTTCAGAATTATCTTTTAACAGTTTTATTACGTCTAATGTTATTTCTCCGCAACGTGAACCCAATACCTTAGCCACCTGTTGTTTTTTTTTTTTTTTTTTTTTTTTTTTGTAAATAAAGAAATATATCGTACTGTAAAAATTATAATGTAAGGAGAAATAGAAATTCTTACTTCGTGAACTCCACATGCTACAGTTCTTCTAACCAAGTAATAGTGATCACTTGCTAATGCGGTAAACGTATGAAGCAACGCATTTGTGTCATCTGAAGAATTTGATACAAACATAAACATTGCAGGCAAATTAAAAGCACAACATCTTCTGCATTCCACATATTTCTCATCTTCAGCAGGATTACTATTCTGAAACAGTGCAATTCATACTCCGTATTTATTTTAGAACTCCGTATACGTCGTCGCGATGACCCTCTCATATTTGTATGTACTTACAAATGGAAGATTTGGTTTAGATTCTTTTTTACTCGTCAGAATACCCATTTGTGCAAGCTGTTGATAGTACTTTAAAAACCATGTTTTCTCCATAGGTAATAGGCACTCTAAAATATGAATCGCATATTATATTGCGATCACGAATATATTTCAAATTATTAAAAGGTCTTACTTTCTACGCCGAGTACGATTTTTCCATATTCCTGAGCAATAACACATATCACGTTATCGTCTGACCGCATCGAATTTTCGCATAATTTTTTAATAAGCGGTATTATGATAGTTTTGATCGAATCTGTAAATGATTAATGTAAAGAATATATTCTGATTTGAAAATGAACATAGATTACGAATTAAAACACATGTCACTACGAGAAAATTCAGAACGATTTAGTGCACAACTAATCATCAAGCATACCTTCCTGAAGATGAGGTAGCAAATGCGCTATTATCTGTACAGAGGCGCATCTTACATTGATTTCTTCGTCATTTGCTAATTCTACGAGAGATGGTAGCAAAGCAGGTTTTACAGACTCAGCACCAAGGCCTTCGGCAACAAAACGTAGCTGCAAGCAGATACTAGCTCGTACTTCACTATTTACATCCTGACAGAGGGAGTGTACCATTGGTAGAACTTCCTTCTGTATCCTGACAACAATTTTAATACGTATACTTATTTAACGACTTTACGGCAATAAAATGATCTTTTTTTGGCATATTTTGCACGCTATCAAGTTATTTAATGTCTCAGAAACTGGTACCCCCCGGTAAGGGAAATTGTTAAAAAATTTTGATAAGATGAAACATACTCACAGAGCAGAATCAAATCTTGTACAAATCTTTCCTAATATTGTGCTGCATTTTATCCTGGAGTGGACAGGTTGTGACAATTGTCCTTTGCTTATAGTCAATGGAAGAATCTGTATGATTTTATTTCTATTATCATCCGGTTGATACAACCATCATAGTAGACTTATATAAAAATAATGGTAATAATTTTGTTAAGTAATTATATCATCAAAGCTATGTCAAATACATAGCATTCTTTTTGCAACAAGTAGTTTTTCAATAGAGTACTTGATGCTTAGTCTAGCACAGAGTAACAAATACAAGTCAACTTTATTACCGATCTACTATAATTTAAGTATTATAAAATTACAGATGTGCTACGCATGATGATGCTCTTTTTGTCCTTCTATATGATTATGTTTTCTGAATATCAATTTCTAAGATCATGTATACAAACCTGCTTTCTTATGATTTCTACCGGCAGTAACTCTATCACATCCAGTAAGGTCTCCAGCCATGCATGACAGATAACTTTAAATGTATATATACATGTTTAATTATGTAGAATAACACCAAATGCATGAAAATGTAGATACAGGCTTAGCTAGCAGTTCTAATGTACAACTTGATAAAGTTACTTTACCTGGATCACGCTTTTCAAGCGAATTTAATATACTTTGGAGGAATGTTCGACTGAAGACATTGTAGCTGACAAGTCTCTGCTCTAATATTGTTTTAAATGTAGATGAAGCTGCTATGTGGAATTCTGTGGATGCGGTAGACAATGACTGCTGTACTTTTGGTATCACACGAGTCATACATGATTCTGTGTCTGTGGCCAAGAGGTTTGGTAATGTTTGTATAAAATTAAGTTTTTGAATTTCATCGCCTTTCCTGGAATAATTACAAACATAAGTGTGACAATTACATTAATAAAAATAATGTATTATGAAAAAAAAAAACGTTGTTCATTTTATTTATGTAATATAAAATGTCACGACATCAATTTTCTAAAGACAATTTCGTCACTCTCGCGTTATTTTCTTCAAATGTATGCATCCTCCAAGGACAAGATCTTTATGTAACATGTCCTTTTGGAGCATGTGACAATGTTTTCACTGATACAGTGTTTATGCGCGAAAGTTACCTGTATTACTGTGATATTAGTGTCTCGTTAATTCGCTATTAACAGGTAATATTGCAATTTTGTCTAAAGAAAAGATACAGAAGAATTCCATTTTCGAAGTAACCTACACCATGGCATCGTATCATTCCTAATCACGATCTTAGCTAACTACTCATCGGTTACTCGTACGTAGAATGGCATTTCTTACGAGTGTCTGTCTTTAAAAGGACTATAATTAGCGACTCTTAGACGACAGGACAGTACACCTCTTGAACGACGCTGTTATTTTTGGAAACCATGCACGAGTTCGTACGAAAATGAAACGACCGGGAAGAGCGGAGCCACGATTGAGGCCCCAAAATTTCTAACTTAAAAACTGTCTCATTCGACTATGTACTTACTGAGGGGATGCGCTGTTGAACAGTGCTTCTTCTTGCAACATTTTCAAGGCGCATCTTATTCAATAATAGTACGATAAAACGACAAACACACGGATCGATCCCTTACGCGAATGACGATACACGCGTACGCACTCTCATGACGCACTTAAACGCAAGAAAAACAACACGACGGAACGTTGATGACAACTAAACTGGGCTCTGACTCCAAGGTATCGATTATATCTGACTTAGCGTACGAGGTGTCGAGTATACCCGAACTGAACCGAAATAATCCGAATGCGACCTACGTGCGCTGCTGATGAAAACACGTAATGCTGTTCAGCGCGTAATACAATAGAACGATGCGTTGATCGGTAGTCGATGTTGTGTAATCAACGAATCGATGCAGTCATTTTACGATTCCCCCTCGATGATGCACATCGCATTAAGGAGCGTCGTTTACACATTTCTAAAAAAGAATACTCTTCGCGTTTTATTACGTACATTTACAGCTAACTCGATTGCGATCGAAGCACATTAGCGCGCGGGAAGGTTATAACTATTTTCCCTGGCGTATGCATTGTTTAGAATTGTACAAAATTAATTGATCACGTTATACAGCCTTGATACGATAATCACGCGAGATTACGTAGTTTCATTCAAGGTTCGATACGGTGCTTTATCGAGGTACTATTGCGCGAAATTACTATGATCCTGGAGTCCCAAGGATACACGCCGATCTTATGGAAGCGGAAGTTGACTTTTCGCTTCCAGCGTTTACTTACGTCAAAAGATGAAGCGCTCTGTCTATCGGCCTTTTTTCCAAATTAGGATCTAGACTATGCTTTTTTAATTGCTCTTCGTCCTAAGAAGGCAGTTTTAACTTATGAATCGATCGATTAATAATTATAGATGCATCATTACGTACTCTTATATCCGCTATGGGTTTATCTAACTGAAGGCTTGCAAACTCCTCGTAATCCATAAACATTTTGCTCGCATTTTATGACAATCGTGCACGTATATAACCCCATGTATTTGAAATAATTTATCAGGAACAGGAAAAGCTTATTCAGGTTATGGTTCGAATGGAAATGAAAACACGATCGTATGCGATTCGGTTTTTCAAGAATGGTCATTGGTCTGGTTCGGCGGGAAAACGGGCGTTGAGATAGTCGCAATCACGCACCTGTATAAAATACGAAATATATTTACTTTCATAGCATGTCGTATAATTTAGATAAGTATACATACCTTACGGGCATTGCATAGTATATCATATACGTTTAGCAATATAAAAGATTACAGTTTACAGTAATATATACAAAGAACGAAAAGTTTTGAATGCAGTTAAAACACTCTAACAACTTCTGCGTGTACCTTATTCAATTAAGATAATCGCTGCGCTTGCATTCGACGAAGAAGCATTTTGCGATTTATGTCTCCTAACTTAATTCAACTTAACGAGAGAGAGAGAGAAAGAAAGAATTAATTGTCATGTTCATTTGGCGGTGAACCAATTTCCTGATAGAAATTAAGAAATACAAATATACAAATAACGAAGAAGGGAACCTGATAAAACGCGATGAGGGCAGTTGACGTTGTTTTGTTACTCGAAACGATTCTTCAAACGTGGAACGATCTTGAAATTCCGAGACATTTCGATAGAGAGATGTGCGCTTGGCTACGTGAATGTATTTAAAGATGACGCGAGAGACGACGAATGGAAACGAATATCTCCCTTTCCTCGGTGTGGCTGCAATAAAATTTGCATTTTATTATCGGTTATTCGTTCCGCGGATATTGAATGCTAAACTCTTCCTCTATGCCGCAATATTTTTACTCGAATACCCACGGAGACCTTTTGTTTCTTTTATATCCTTTCAGTTCGACGCGCAGTTTACACACATTGCATTGTATCATTATATTTTTTTTTTTACAAATATTCTTCTTCGGGTAGAAAGAAAACAACGATTACGAATAATATCATTTCGACGTAAGTCTTGTCCGCTATAGCCTATATACTTAACGATAAGATTTCTATATGAACGTCTAATTAGAAAAAGAAAATGAAGAGAAACCTAAGAGTTAAGGCTCGTGGAAGCACCCTGAATCACTATGTAACAGTCGAATTTACCCCTAAAGAGAATCGCCAACAATGAATAGCGCTTTCTTTTATATAAATTTCCCTCCTTGGATTTGTTGGATTATAACGTTTCCTCGTTGACGACGTACCTAATTAGATAATTCTACATGTCGCTATTATATTGTTTCCGATCGTACGTGCGTTCCCAGTTTTGGACTAGTTTCAGTCGTATAACGAGACCACGCGTGTACACGAGCCAACGCGTACACCGCGATCTCGAAGCTGCGACTTTTCGGTTCTTTGATTTTGTCGAAGGTGCGCGTACACGCGGAAGCGCGCACGCGTTTCTTGGCACCCTGTTTTAAACGTAACTCTCGTCATCAACGACGGATCTTCCGTATCCTAGATGTCTCGTGGTAACTGAAGCACGAGGTTGAGGAGGTGGACGATAAGGAGGTGGCGGTGGCAGAGACCTTGACCTTCCAGCTACTTTGTGCCTGTCTTCTAGATTCATATGCACCGGTGGCAAATGCCTCAGTCGTGGTGGCAGCGGTGGCGGTGTATCCGGCCATGTTCTCTCCTCGTCCTCGTCCTCGTCACCGTACAAATCGATCGCCTCCGCTTGCTTGAACGAGTACAGATCGTTTCTCTCTCTCGTACTGTATATCTCGTTCGTTCTATCCCTATTACCATAGATACTACTTTCAGATTCGTATCTCTCTGTACGCGTCGACTCTTTGTTCACGTATATCTCGCTCTTCACTTTCTTGAACTCGTACAGATCGCTTCCCGAATGGTAGCTACCGTTCTGCGAGACAGGAGATTCCCGATTAACATACATTTCCGACTTGACCTTTTTGAACTCGTTGAAACGTTCTTTCTTGAATTCGTAGCGGTCACTGGACAACGACGAGTCTCCCGCCAGATCCTGTTCCGAATTATGAATCGAGACCCGTTCCGTACAAATATCCTGTTGCGTTGCTCTTTCGTACTCCGACCTGAGATCCCGCGTTATGTCCAACTGCGAATTCCTGTAAATATCCTTACAATTTTCTACGTTCTCCTTCATCGAGTCCTGCCTGAGATACTCTCTACCGTATATATCCTTCTCGTCGAACCTCTCCTTACGATGATCGTGTTCGTCGAGCTTCGTTCGGGGTGTCCTCTTCAGCTGAGCTCTCAGCCAGTCTTGTCTCTGAAAATTTGGATTTGGGTAACCAATACCGTTTTTCTCCTCCCTGAAACCGTGCTCGATGCTGCTCGTATGATGATTGGCTGTGTAACCGTTTATTCTTTCCTCCCACCCACCGTAAACGCGGATGTACGACTTGCTGGTCGACTTGTCCTCTTTCACGAGGGACTTGTCGAAACTGGACGACGAGGCATTCACGGCAGAATCCTCGGAACCCACCGGAGATTCTGGAATGAACAACTGACAGTCCGACAGGGTCAGACCGGAGTCTCTTGAAAGAGACATGTGGTCTTTACGAGGTGGTTCCGTCAGGTCCAGGCTGTCCAAGGAAAGCCCACCTGCTGCAACGAGAGAAATTCTTCAGTAAATTATAAAGGGACGGTCTGATATGAACGAGACGTTCATCTTTAAGATTGAATCGCAACGAACGAAGAGGAACAAGATACTCACAGTGAAGGCTATCGGTGCTCTCTTCAGCTCCGCTGTCGCTGCGCTCTTCTCCGAGCAACTGAGTAACACCCTCGCCAAAGAGAACCTCGCAGTGACGAATTAGCATCTCTGTTAACGTAGGGATCGCTCTGCTCTGATTGACCGAAGGATTTGGCGACCAAAGTAAGCTGGGCCCACAACAGACCCCGAGATTGCTGGCGCACATGAGATTGTGCTTCGACCTGCGTGCCACGTGATGCAGCACGCATATCAGATGCGACAGAAGAGTGTAATTCGCTTTGGGTAGTCTGTCTAAAATACTGAAACACACCACTGATCGTTAAAATACCGGACAAGGTATTCAAGCTGATAAGTCAACCGCAGCTAAGCTTACTTTTTAATGGTTTGAACGGGATTCGGCGTGTCCAAACTCTCCATCCACAGTGGAAACAGATGAGAAGTGAGTAGAGGATCCGGTAGAGACCTCAAGAAGTCCTTCAGTAAAGCTGCCACCGCGATGATGGGCGCATCCTCCAAACAACTGGGATCACCGGTGGACTCGATCTGATCTCTCAACTCCCTAACGATTCTCACGTTCGCGGATTTTCTAAAGATTCCCTGCGTGAACGGTCCTTTGGCGAACAGTTGTTGCAACATCACCAGCACTGGTTTGGGCAGTCCATTCTCGTCCAGTCTGGACAAGTTGACCCCAAACAAACTTGGGTTCAACGACAAGGATCTCCTCAATAGTCCAGTGATTTTGGACTTGTTCTTCTTCACAGGCGACTTCGGTACAGGCCTGAGGATGAAGTGACAGGTGTCATGGCCACTTTTATTACAATGTTCCAAATCGAAACCCTCCTCCGCGGATAGCGTGTGCCGTAAATTGGACAATTTCACGGCGAAAGGTCTTTCGTGACCGATCAAAGGATACGGTGCTTCGTCCGCGGACGTCCTCGCCCACAATTGAAACGGTCCTTGTAGATCCAACAGTCGCGTAGCTAGATTCACGCAGGCTGCCGCCGTCATCTCGGATCCCACCATTATGGTCTTGCACTGCAAACACAGGGAAACTATGTAGCTTACATCGGAGAACGGGCACGAGACGCTTAGAGAGAATACGCGTTTGGTCACCGGTGAACGAAAAGACAGTCGGCTGTCGTTTAACCGGCCACGTCGAAACGGTTTGGGTATTTAAGTGCAACGAGAGCTGCCGTGGTCGATAATGACTACGCCGAGCGAGGGAACTGGCGTCGATAAAGAGCCAAAGATAGAGGAGGCTCCTTTTAGTGAGGAGAACGATCCATTCAACCGCGTACGTTGACGTCAATGATGTATATATATAAAAGGGGCATCTTTGAAGAAGGAATGCCTGTTCAGGAAGGTCAACCGATCGAACTCTCTGTGCGAAGAATGGACCGTGAAGGCGTGACCGCGTGTATGTCTCTGGTGCACGGCGACGAGGCGACGGAGAGGAGGCGCACTTACGTATTCCGTGTTCGTGTCACTGTCGTGATACACGACTTGAATGTTCGTGTCCGGCGGCTCCTTCATACTCTCCTCTCGTACCAGCTCGGTCAGACGACCCCACCAGAGATCCCTAGCTGCAGCAGTCCTGGAAAGAAAAAGAACCGAACGATTTGACGCCTAATCGTAGACGCAATTTCATATACTAATTTATTGGGACACTAAAGAGAAACCTGGCAGCTTTGAAATGACAAGAATTCATGGTCATTACGTGAAGTCGTAGGACGTTGAGAAAGATAAAGGGTGTAATAATAAAGTTTGACGAGACTAGACAAGAGGAGAAGGGCTTACATGAAAGTGGCGACGACGTTCGTCGTCGGCCAGCCGAGGACGAAACTGGTCTCCTGAGATTTACTCGTTTCGGCCACGTCTTCTATGTGTCCAGCTGTTAGCCAGAGCTCGCTCATTCTTACGGACTGCTTCAGCTTGAAATTACCGCCGCTTCGAGCCTTTGCTATGAGCAACAAGTCGGAGAACAGGAAGAGGTGTCTGTCCTGCGACTGCACACCCTGTAAACCGAGAAACAACATCGGCAATTTGGTTATTGAGCCTCGATAAGGAAGAAATGGGTGTTCTAGAGATGAAGAATCACTTACCGTGGTGAATTGTACCGGAGTTTCCAAGAGGAAGGTTCTCGGTGGAGATTTTGGAGCCGGAGAATTGCTAGACACGTTCAACGACTTTTGCGACAGCACTCTCGTCAGCCTCCCTGGATTTCCACCGTTCCTTTTACGAATCAGACTCTTCATCTTCTGGAACGCGCGCGATAATCGCGTTATTTTAATTGAATAGAAAAAAGAAAGGTGCGAAACATCAAGTAGGGATTCTATATTGGAAATCGAGCGTGGAACATCGTCGCTATCGGGTATCCTTGAGATGAGATTAGCATTAAATTATCGTACGGTTGGCTCGAGCTACGCTTCTATCCAGTTAACGCGCTCAAGGGTCAACAAAGTAACGACCAATTTTGATGCTCGGATCTAGGACATAAATTATTATCATCCTCGCAGCAGGCGGCTAATAACCGGACGGCAACGTGCCAAGCCGCATTAACTTTCGGATGACTTAACAGCATTATTTCACCGACTCGATCCGCCGACAGTGAGGCATCGTCTCGCATAAAACCCGTTCGAAATTTTCACGAGCAACTACTGGTAGCTGGGTAACTCGTTAATGAAACCTGTACTTGAATCTATCTAAACGAAACTGGTAGCTGATTGCTACTAGTAGCGATAATCGAGCAAAACTTTCAAAATCAATGCAGCGATTACACGAGGGAGCCTTGCCCATTCGTATCGAGTCACGTTACCTTTGACGAATAACGCTACCAAATATGTCAAACCGACCCAAGACACGCACGATACACGAAATTACAAACGACAGGACAGATCGATTAACATACTTCTCTTTGACACGACCGACTAGGACTTCGAACCTCTTCTCAATATCGTAATCCTTTTTCTTTTCTTACGAAACCTCAACTGATGGTCCCCGATGTTCTCTCCCAGCAAGATCTCAACGTAACTCTCACGTTTAAGAAACACCGCGGCGCGTTTCTTTGCGTTATCGTATGTTAATGAACGCTGTAGAAATCAAGGTAACGCGCCGCTGGCTCGCGATGATTCTTCGCGATCCGAGGAAACGTTCCATCATCGTTCGCGGGAACACGCTCGACTGCTGCGTGCATAATGCGACGAGGAGAGTGCATTGAGAAACGCGAGCACGCACTCCTACCTGCGCGCGACAAACAATCTTACCGATGTCTAAGAAACTGCTCTTGACAATACTCTTTACGCCCGGTATGCTAATTGTTCCTTCGATACACGTGGGAAGAGAAAACTGTCGTCGACGACTGGATTTTCATCATTTCTATCGATGATTCGAGGAAAATTTTGGAACACTCTCAGTACACTTTGGACACTTTAGTCCATGGTTCTAGGTAAATTTAGAAATTACACAGCCGCCCGCGAAAGTGTTAAATACAGTTTTGAATCATGTCGGTTTGGCAGCGCGTAGTCATCGTTAATAAAAGCACAATTCGCGTGTTTTCTTTCGCTGGTAACTAAAAATAGGCAACTTTACACACCATTGTTTAAGCTCTTATTTCATCCCAGAAACTCAATGAACTATATATGTAATTTGATTTCCGGATCAAAAAATGCAACACATCCCGTTTAATGTTAATAACGCTGTATTTTCGACGATGTTCCACGTAAACATAGTATATATTGTCATGGTAGAATGTCCCATGAATTGCGTGGGAAACCATCGTGTTTCCACGGGTGGAAAGAAGAAAAAAATGCTTTAGACTCTCGTGAGAATCATTGAAACTCATCGTGGAAAGTTAAGTTACAGCGGAAGTAGCATGCGTTTATGGAGATTTTTCTACGGAAATGCGCGTAACGACGAGAAATCGTGCTAGGGAAATATGGAAAGTACCGTGGTGAGGACATCTCGTTCGTGTAGCCGAAGGTTATCGCCAGGAAAGAGCTCCTGGATTCGATGAAGGTCACCCTCGAGTTGACCGCGTTGGAGAACGGCGCCACTTCCGACGCTTCCGTTTCCGTTCTCCACCAGGTTTCGCGCCTCTTGACCCAGGTACCTCTCGTATTCGGCCAGCCTCTGGACCTGAAACAAATTTCAAAATACTTTCGTTAGATCAAAGAAGGATTTACACTGACGATAGTTTATTGCTTAAATTCGATTTCGTTTCACCACGACCACGCCTTTCAACGAATCGATGACTTTTTACGCAACTACGATAATGCAGAACTCGCGTTTATGAAAGTAGGAAAAAGGAAGCAATTGAGAAACTACGAATGTTTCCCTCGCAATCGACGCGTGAAAATTGATATTGCATCGTCGACCGGTAATAAGATCGGAACTCGAGTTCCTTTTCAACCCTGAACGATCCAAATAATTATTATTCGCGATACATCCAAGCGAGTTATGTAAATTCGTGACTAGTCATCGATCAACTATCCTCTCGTGGTCATGGTTGATTCATTGCTCAAACGTCGCTCCGTTTTTTTATTTTACACTGTACAATTATTTTCCACTTCAATCCGGTTGCCATAAGTTTCAATTACAAAAATACTCGTTCCAAGGAAATAAATATTATAATCATCTATTGCGATCCCGGTTTTGCCACGAGTCTCCGATACATCTCGAACAATTATAAATCCGGTCAAGTTTCGTTTCGAACAACGTGAGACATCGACGGAAATATCCCGGTGAGTTGCACTTTTTTTCCCCCCGGATGTGTTGTTCCTTTTCTTCGCCAAGGGTACAACAGGCGGCGACGTTTTCACATTGCTCCGTTTATTGTTCGCTCCCACGTGCGACCAGAAATTTTCAATTAAAATGCGACCGTGCTTTCACGTTGTACCACTCGCTTGTATCGAGCCACCCACACAGAAATCGGCTGCTTTCGTGACGAAAGCGTGACACTTCTTCTCTTATAAGCCGCTGATCGAATCGAACCAATCGGATTTCGATATCGATCACCGAGGTTACCTAAATCCTTGCGGGACTTAAGATGAGCCGAAATTTGTCTCCGTTGTAGATCATCCGATGATCGATCGTTAATGATGGAGCAATCTTTACGATTATCATAATCAAGCGTGTGTACAAATTGCAAGAAAAAGATTCGACAAAACCGATCGTATACCTACAGTCGACGAATCCGACGCGTATCCTTCGTCCACTAACACGTTCACGTATTTAATGAACATTTCGTCGTAAGAATCGCGCTTACGTCTCGCCGAGCGACGACACACAAGGCGGCAGAAGATGCACACGCGGTTCGACGTTCGCTTAACACCTCCCGGTGAAGAGCAAAAGCGTGACGACGACCAGTTGCTAGACTCGAAGCTGGCAGACTGAGCTCGATTTCGCGCGAGTAACTAGCCGCGATACATCTTTAGCGCACAATGAATCACACAGGTCCACCGGAAGTTACCACTCCACCCTGAGAGCAGAGGAGGCTGGCTCGTGTGTCACCGTTCCTTCTCACCTGCTTGCCTTTTACGAAACCATGACGTAGATATCGTTTTTTTCATCTCTGATCTTAACGAATCAAAGCATTAACCGTTCGATTAGAATTGCTCTCGAGAAAGTTTTTTATTTTATGGGAGACGATCTTTCCTTTACGCTTTCACTGAAGTCAATGATCTCGTGAACAGTGGAAACATCGATCTTTGGGAGTTTTTTCACTCTTGAGAGAGTCGATGACTGTGTGTTTTAGAATCGAAAGGTTTTGAATTTTCGTAGAAGGGGATAAGACACTGTTGGATGTCTCCAGGGGGTAAATTTTATAATTTAAAACGAAATTCTACGTGCAGAAATGAAAATTATCGTCTGTTCACGAGGCAAACATGCGATCGGCGACATCGGTTCCTTTCGTCGCGAGTTCTGCCGTTTCACTGGCGCCGATTTCGCGATAATTGCCCCGTTCGAACGTTCGTTACTCGCTGGTTTTCTCTTTCACGGCATAATTTTCACAGTTTGACGCCGGCTCGTCGAGCAATCGGCATTCTTCGCGGCCACGTTCGATAAATACCTTCTCCATCGACGTTGGCTCGTTTTCTTTCGTTCCGTTTCCCATCGTCATTGTTCGAACGACACGTATACTTTTACGCGGCATTCTTATACCGGCACCGTTTCTGGGGCCCCTTTTCGCACACTTTCACCGCACCGTCATGTCGATTATATTGCTAGGAACAGTGCTCGAAAACATGGAACGCCGCCGCCTTCTTTACTTGCCTTTATATACGCTCGATCGTTCCTCGATAATCGTTATCGAGTCACGAACACCATAGGACCGCGTTTCACAAACCGAGCTATTTTCTCGACGATGAAAACGGTACAGGAAAAATCTGGCTACTTTCTGTTCACGACATTCGTTATCTTGTTGAATTAGATTGCGCGGGAAACATTCTACGGGGCTGTTATTCGAACGATATACATTGCGATGGATTTTTCTCTCTATGGGATAAGGTCATTTCGATTCGCAACTGCAACTTTGTTACAGTGGAATTTCAAGACTTCAAAGTTGATGAAATAAATACGGTCTCGATGAATGAAAATATCTCGAACGCACGACGCGACGCATTCCAGTTCCCAGACATTTTTCTCACAGCTTATTAGAGACCTGTGTCGCTTTAACAGCCAGGCTAATTGAATTTTTCATCGACTTGCAGATAACGAATAAGATAGCCCCTTCGAACATCGTGGAAACCACTTAATCTGTACACTCGTCGTTCGAGTGAAAGATAGGAATTTCTTCTTTTTATTGACACCATTATACTTTAACTGCCGCAGATACAACACGAATTAACACTTTTTTTATTCTACTCTGGTTGAAAAATGAAACGAAATGACAGCAATCTTGTTCCATTAAAAAAGATCGTAAATTACAGCGTACAGAAGTGTTGCATACCTGATCCTCTAATTATCAAATTACCAACTAGAAGCATACCTAGAAACGCTAATTTGTCCAACTCCGAAACTCTCGACACGATCAATCATTCAACCTAAAGTTAATCATCGTCTCTACCGTGTATTCAAACCTCCCCGACCTATAAACAAAATGAAAGAACAGAGTACATAATATATACGAAGGAGAATTCGAAGAAATCGTATCATCTTCCCTCTTTTTAAAAAGAAGAAAAAAAAAGATGCTCGAAAACCCTCGACGCCTCAGTTTCGTACCCCTTCCGCCCTTCTGCCTGCCACGACACAAAGAGTTCCGAATGCTCGAATCACGGCTCGAGATCAGCGAAATAAATACTTGGAGACGGTCGTTCGAGTGGGTCGCTCTTAAGCTCAAAGGGATTTCTCTTAAATCCCCGGGACGAGAGGGGTGTGATCGAGTAACCGAAGAGATTCCTTCTTTCAGGGTGGCTTTTCAAAACGAAGGGTAGATCCGAGACACGCATACGGGTCTGCTCGTTGTCGATGCGGCTCGTTGAGTCGCTGCTCCTTCTCGCATATTAAGGAGACTTCACAAAGCAGCGAGGACGGCTCCTCGACAAACGACAGAAAGAGAGAGAGAGAAAGAACCACTTGATTCGTTCCAGGCCAAGGGATTTCGCCCGATAATCCTGGACACTTGGGGCTGAATTGTTGTTAATTAGCATAGCCTGCATCGTCACCCTTTCGTTTTCCACTCGAGAGGATTGCCGAGCCAGCTCGTAAATCGAGCTTTATGGCTCCGGGCGTAGAAATCTTATTCTACTGTTATTTACACAACGAGTATGTTTTTACTTTTACTCGATGTATAGTTAAGAATCTGAACAACGAAGACTATTATCTTTCGTAAGAAAGTTGACCCTCCGGTGCCAAACTACCGATCGATGTAATTATTATTAACCCTTTAACGACGGGCGCGGCTGGTGGGACACAGTACGCTTTGTTGCTTTAACCAAGGGTGTGGCTGATTGACACATCGCGTTAGGAAGACACACAGTAGCCTGTTAATCCTCGAACAAAACGGATGGGTCGCTCGTGACCCGAACTTGCGCAACTTTCCAAATAGAAAACTTTCATACTTATATTCTAAACGACACGCGTTCCATTTTGAATGATCTCCGGTTCACTCTCTCTTTCGTAGGTATCACGAATCCTCGTCGATGATTCAGCTGGATTCGCGAAACACGATTCTTCCTGGCGCGAAAGGGCCCTTAATAAGAGCTGGTTCGCTCGCGAGTCGAGGAAAAAGCACGAGAGAGGGCTGGTTAATTTGTCGGCCAGCCGTAAGATAATTTGCCGGTCGAGGCGATCAATCATTTAATTAGTCGGCGGGAACGTGCTAGCGGCTTGAAATTGTTCGAACGCGGTGAATGGAAGAGAAAGGTCGCGGAGATTCGCGCGTGTTCGCCAACCTTTTTGCTCGACTCCCCCATTCTCCACTCTCCTATACGACGTACTCGCATCCAGCACTGGCTGGAATATCCATGGATATGGTGTATACACCATGGGGAACGTGTATCTGGAAGCGTAGCTAAACGTATCTACCGTTAGGCTCTCGCTCGAAGCATCGACCTCGGGACTCGGTGCTTGTTCGAGTTATTTCTTGATGGACACCGTTTACTGTTCACGCCTCTGCGCTGCCCGGTAAATATGTCTCGATCCAGCTGACCCTTGATCTCTGACCTCTCGACGAGCTCTGATTAACACCGATACCGCGATAAGAATTGCGAACGCGGATGCAACGTTGTCTCTGGCGAGATGTTAGAAGTGAGAGGTACCATTTAGAATGGATGGCGATTAAAATTCAAAGACGATCATAACGAAAGGATCATCAAGTTCGTTTACCGATAGAAATGGATTCGATCGATTTTTCTCGAGGATCGTTCCGTTTATTTTCACGTTCGACCGTGACGTTACGTATATATCTTATGTCGGTTGCAACGAGATTGCCGAGGAATTATCATCCACGGTGGATACACGAGAGTAGCGTTTCGTAATCCCATCGGTAGTCGACGTTATATCCTCGCGTTTCTTGCAACGTGCCTCGCTACTCTCAAGAACGAGCTTATGCACGCCTATACATCGTACGTAATGCACGTTGCATTCCTCGACATTCGTACGCGCGTTATGCATTCCGCCTGGATTTGACCTCGATGCCGTGTTATTAATGCCCATTACGTTATATAAACGAACCGCCACGATCAACGGGCGAGCGAGAAGCGAAACGAAACGTCCAGGTTGAAGAGTAAAGAGTATCTCGCCGGATGGTTTTGCGAATAAAGAGGAGGAACTCGGTAGAAACTCTTGGCGCGTTGCGAGCGAGCGAAAAGGATTGCTTCTTTATTAATCGACTTCGCGGCTCGTGTTCGTATGCCGGCTTAAGAACGCGTAGATTTGTTTCTGTTGATATCGATTCGTTTGAATGTAAATCTACGAGCGCGTTGCGCGACGCCACGTAAATCAACCGCCACAGGAAGCGGATTTTGTAACTCTTCGAGACAGGTGTTCTTCGTTGCGTCAGACCGTAGCAATTTGTCCCGCGAGTATACGAGTAACGTACTCTTGTGATATCGAGACGACGATGAAAAAGAAGAAAAGAAAAAGCGTACGAGCTGTCCGTCGTGCCCTCGGGGCCCTGTCCGTGTTTCCATTCCGCCGCGCCGCGCCGCGCCGCGCCGCCACGTTGCCCGCCATTGCTGCAATCGGAATAAAAATTATGCCGTACAAATGGCCGCTGGTATTGTCCTTCCTCGCGTCGATTTATCTTCTTCTCGTAACAAAAGGGGGAAAAATATGCTGGGAATATTGAAATGTTCGCGGTTCTCTTTCTTGTACTAGTTCTATAATTCCACATATAATAGGAATCTATAGAAATCTAATCAGAGTTACCTCTATTCGTGAATTAAAATGCAAGTAGAATGTAGTTCACTAGATCTTTCTACAATTTCACTCGGTTAACGAGTCGACTCTTTCCCAATTAACTGCTGCCTAATAACCTTTACACCCACTAACGATCCATTAGCTAATTGAGAAAAAAAAAGAAGATACTCTTTTTACCTTTTCTCCGAAAAATGTCATCAAACACGAGGTTAGAGAATGGAGGAGGATCTTTGATTAAGGTAAACACCCTGGAGGGTCCTACTTCGATTTCTTCGAAAGAAAGTTGGACGGAAGAGAAGGCGGTGAACCTGTTCCTCCGTTCACAGCGACGATCCATTGAAAGCAGCCAGCTAACGGACGAGGAACACGAGGATACACAGACCGACTACTACCCGAGGAGGAGGATTACGAAACATTGGCTATCCGCGAGCGACGACGATAATTCCTCGTCGCGTCTACCCACATTCGCCTTTCGCCGTTCCGCTCGTGACGCGGCAAAAGAAGAATTCACCATAGAGGAGAAGGCAGAAGTTCAAACGAGCGAGGACGGAGGAGAACCGCTAACAAACAGTGCATCCACCGAACGAACGTCTCATCGAGCTCGTTACCGGGTCAAATTAGCCAGTTGAATTGCCGTTAACGTTGCACGGCGTCGTAGGAGGGCCCCTTTCTATTCAGATTAGCCACCGGCCACGCGTCTTCTTTATTGCTGAATTTCAATTTGCTTTCGTTTAATGCCTACGTTTCTTCGCTAATAATATCGTTCGGTGCTAGCAAAATTCATCAGCGTGGGCGGTGAAGAGGAATCTCGACAAAAACCCGTGGTTGGTCTTCGTCCAACAGAAACAATGACCAAGAATTACCGAGCGATAAAGATGTCGAGCTTTCGGCAAGCTCCCGACAATTCGATATTTCACACGGATTAAATATTACGAGTAAACGATGAAAAACACAGCCTCGAGGTTCGAATGGAATGAAGCGATTTTGCTAATGCTGTAAGGTAGCAGCGAGAAAATTCGAAGCAGTCGTTCGATGTTCATTCATTAAGTGCACGCGATCGCAAGCCACGAGATACAGTTGGTGGCGTGTAAAATAGTAATAGCCGATGGTAGTGCCAAGCCTTGGCTTAGATTCCAGCTTTGTCGCGTACGTTAACTCGCGTCCAATGGCGTAAGATGGTATCGAGCCGAGAATTTTGCCCGTGTACCGTGTACGGTACTTTCTCCTCGCAGCGGGATCGTGACACGTAATTGCATACTTTCGTTGTCGGCTTATGATGAAAGTTTCAACCAGAAATCACGAGCTTTGCCTTCTCTTCGCTAAACTTTTTTTTATCCCTTTCGAAAACTATCGTCGGTATAGTTAATTGAAAAAGAAAGGAATCGAGGGAGTAATTTCATTAAGCAGCATGGCTGTTTAAGGGAACCAGGAAACTCGTTCGATGAAATTTATAGGATAGGAGATAGAAAATCCTCAGAGATACCGCGATTCTACGCCTCTGCGTTTACACGTACACACCTTTACTATTTAGCGGCACTCCGTAATAACCACTGGCAAAGGTATTCGAGCCACGACCAAGGAATCTCATTCCGTTCACCTCGATGACGGAATTCCGATAGTATAGGTACACCGGATTGAACCTCTACCGCAACTTTGCCGAGGAATTGATCGTTGCTATTCAACAATCATGTACGAATTCCTGCCTTTCGGCACGTGGTCTGTCCCAAAATTAACTAGATTATATCTAAGTCAAAGTTTGCCAAAAGGAACTCCTCTAATCCTTATCCCATTTAAATGAATCATCGAGTAAAGGATTATCAATTTTGCAAATGAAATTCTGATCAGAGATAACCACACGAATTTGCTGCATTCCCTGAAACTTTCTAATTTCATACATACTCTAAGTACTCTAATACACCGTGAAGGGTTTAGCGTTAATTTTACGAGGGAAACTTTGACCAAAGATAAGAGTACGTACAATATTACTATGGTCTGTTCCGTTCATGTTGCTTGTCGTTCGATCGATATTGACTCTCTTTCAATAGCCGAGACCAAGTCAAAGAGAAAGCACGCGACTCTCGTGTTCCGACAATGTTATCGTAGTTAACGTACGAGCCGAGTTAGCCCGTTAACCTACAAGCTATCTCTGTTCTATCATAGACCCTGTCGAACTAAAACGGCACGCGTTCGTCCCGTCCGGCGTCGGTGTACTTACAACCTTCGTTGTTCTGGGTCGAAAAATTCAGCTACAGGTAACACACCTACATATGTCGGTACGTGCGTTGAAACGATGCATACGCGTTCGCCAGGTCTCTATACTAGCTCGCATGTAACATCAGGTAAACGACTTCCAGCTTGTGGTTAACGGTATACGTTGTGCCTAATACGAGTCTCGTGTCTATCGGGGATTAAGGTTGGATCTTTCATCGATCGTTCAAATTTCCACGTTCGACGCGTTTCTTTGTACCAAAGCAAGAAATACCATCGGGTATTTTTATTTTTCTCGAAATGGAAAAAGAACGAGAAAAGGGTGTAGTCGAGTTTGATCCCCTCCAAAAAAGAGTAATCCAGCTTAACGAGAGGTAAAGAAGGTAATCGAAAAGTTGTGTCCGTTTACGAAAGAAACTTCGGTGCGGATGAAAGGGAGGAATTTAGTGAATGGGAGTGTCACGACTCGTTTTTCCACTACAATGCCACCGAGAAACGTCTTGCACGAGCCGATCGATCCGTGCACCCGCAGTAGGCACAGGTATTTCTCGAGATCATAGCCGACACACGATCGCGATATCCCAAGGTGATCGAAGAGAGGATCTAGCCGAGATCCTGACCGAACCATGATACTCAGCTCCGTTACGAGTTTCGAAATCCATCGAGTTCGCGTTCTCTCTGGACCACTATCGAGCTTTGACGTCATTTCCAAAGAAACTCT